CCTTTAACTCCTAAGATTATATAAACACACATTTAACAAACAAGAAAAAAGTTACTTCATCTCTTTTTTTTAAAGCTTGAAATTTTTGGTAATCTTTTCATTTACTTACTTAAAAGGCCAATTAGAAACACAAAGGTAAGTTATCAAGATGACTAAGAGCAGACTGTTAAAGAGTACTGTGTAGTTAATGCTAATCATGAGATAATGGGTAAATAAATTTCTACAGCCTTGGCAACAAGAAGATGACAACCCTCGCAGGTTGTCAGAGGATCAGTGAGAAAACAGTCAACCTAGCAACATATATGGTATTCAACAAATATCTCTTGTTAATACTCAGAATAAATTTGAAAAGGACAAAGATACCTAGAAATGGTTAACAAGTCTAAAATTCAGCTGAAGTAGTCTGTAATCTCTCAGACACTCCCCAACAGTATCTCTTCCAAATCTTGCATGTGTGAAATTAGGAAAGCCTATTACTCAGATACATTAAGAGCTAAACATCTGTTCAGTGTCTACCCTATGCAAGATGGCAGCAAGAAAGTCCAAAACAGTGTTCAATATTAAAGAGATAAAAACATTTTAGCAAACTACTTTTCTCTGACTAATAGGGATAAATTAGTATGAAGAACCAAATTAAAGTTTACCAGAGAAATATTAAATACTTTAAAAATTTGATAAAATTAATCCTTGACTTTTACATCTGTGTTCAATTCCTACACATAGGGCATCTATTCTTATCTAAATTTTATATTGTCACTTTATAGGCTAACAAAGGCAGGAAAATGTGGACTAAAGAAAAGCATAAAATATATCACTTCTAAAGTTTAAACTATGTAATAGAGAACTTAGTGATCATGAAGGACCAAGAGATTTGTATGTTAGTCATATAGGTCTCAATTCTATCTACTGTCTGGGTCTAGTCTTCCTAGAAACACGGCACCGCAGTCCTGCAGGATGGAAGAAATGTTTAAGTACATTATCAGCATGCCCATATTTATTAACTCAGTCATTCCAACAGCCTCTAAAGTTCTGCTATTTCCATTTGACTCCAACAAAAATTCAACCCTCGCTGCATACTTATTACACCAAGAGATCTAAGGCAATGTCACTGACAGGCACTGTAACTAGGAGCCAGGAGTAAATTAAAAACAAAAACAAACAAAAAAAGGAATAGAACATGGTGGCTACAGTTTAGAAACAAAGTGGGAATGCATCTGTTTTGTGGATTGCATTATTAATCTGTCAATAAATATTTACCAAGCATCTTGCTTTCATGTTTTTGAAGACTTTTATACCCCTTCAAAGTTACGTATTATCAAGTTCTATCTTAGTCTAGCATCTTCCAGAGCCTTGCTACAGGGAAGCTGATTTGGAGAATTATTTTTTTGTTATATGGGTGGTAAGCGGACTTTACTTAGATTTTAGGTTTGTAATCTTATTTATTGACTATGTTTAGAGGTAACCTCCTCACACCTCAATCAATGGCTTATGAAACTTGAACAAGTCATACAAAACGAATTTTAAAATTCCTACTATGGGTCTTTCTCCCTAGAACCCTGCTTTATATTCATCCCTTCTCTGCCTCTGTATTTAGCCTGAAAAAATTCTATTCACAAATCTCTTCTCTATAGGCAACAGTCTTTCCTATCTTGAAGATGGGTTAACCACCAAATCTCTCATCCTCACAAATACTAGCTTACTCTCACTGTCTTCACTTATGTACCATAAATCCAATTAGCATACTACCATCTGGTTCCTGACTTTACTAGAACTGCTCTTATAAAGCCACCAATAGCCGCTTGATTACCAAAACCAAGGGATGCATTTTTGTCCTTATTTTACTTAACCACTCTGCTGTACTAGATACTGTTGAGTACTCTATGCTTTCAAAATTCTCTTTAATAGTGATGCCATGATGCTATTTCTCTCCATCTTCCTAAACACTTCTCACCTTTGTTGACAGGTATCTGATGAACCTCCAGCCCACATTTAAACTCTACACCCGTATTTTTTAACTGCCTACAGGATATCTCTACTTAAGTAACCTAGAGACCAAAATCTCAATTCATTCAAAACCTTATTGACCTTCCACCAAAAATTTGCTCCTTCTACTAGTGGTCTGTCTTGGATAGAGGTGCCTAAACTAACCTAAGTTAGAAAATATGGCAGTTACCTTAGAGTCCTCCCACTTCCTCACCCTCCAAATACATTCTAATTTCTAAAACTCTCTTCTCTAGTCCCACTCCAATTAATTTTAGGCCCTCATAATTTCTCAAACAACAGTTTTCCTACTTTCAATGATGACCTTTCCAATCTATCCCTTACACTGCTGACAGAATAAAAATTTCTAAAAGGTAAATCTAATTATATTATTCACTTGTTTAAAACCCTTGAATGAGTCTCTGCCCCAAATGGTACGAATTCTGTGCTTAAATGGAAGCTATTCAATAAACAGTATCTTTTATCACACACATATGCATTTTCCTAAGGAAAGGGCCCATATTATCTGAGATCAACCCCAGAGAGTTAGGAACCATTGGCCCACAGGATAAACTCCAAACTTTTCTGCAAACCCTTTGAAACCTTTCAGAATCACCTCAAACCACACGCTCCCTCTCAGTATATGATGCAGTCAACCACAACCACTCTAAATTTTCAAACAAGACTATGAAGCTTCAACTTTTCACACCACTGAACAGAAGATTCCCTCTGCCTGGAAAGCCACTCCCCAAGAAAACAAGAACTCATCCTTCAAGTGTTCTTTCATCTATGAAATCCTCCCTAGGTCCTCCAAGCAACTGATACCTCATTCCTTTCACTTACTACATTCTGCCTATACCTTTACTATGATATTATATGGCATGTTCATATTTATTTTCATGTCTTTCTTAATGGATCATGAGGAAAAGACCATGTTTTATTCATGTTTGTATGCTGCTAGTGCTTAGCACAGCACCAATCTGTAACACATACTCAAATATTTGTTGACCAAATATGCACTACATCATTATCAATGAGTAGTCTCTTCATAAAAGGTACTCCTGTGTAATAAGCTGCTCAAACGGAAAGCATTTTCTGAAGCTTCTTAAAAAGTGTATTTTTCAAAATATATCAGATCTATGATCACTAACAAACTTACCACTAATGTTTTAAAACATTAAGGAAAAAAGAATGTTTTTTTTAAAAAGACTGACAAATAATACAAGTGCAAAACTGCCTCTTCCTTTGAAATGAAAATTTAACTTATAAATTTACAATTCTCGATGAGATTAAATCTACTAGGTATTAAGCCTTCTCTTAACCTTTCTGTATTTCATTAGCCTAGTTAAATTGATTTTCCTCTTGCGTTTCAACTTTTCATATGCTCCAATAATTCTCTTCATATTTAAACCTCAACCTACCTCTACAGAATTCTTGTGTCTTTAAAGTAGATATTTGTGTGAAATCAGCAGTGTTTCAGTTTTCAGAAAACACCAAGTAAAACTCTAGGGGAAAGGTATGAACTGAGTGTAGGAAGGAAATCATACTGAGTACCCATTAGAGAATTTGGGTTTCTGTTACTTTAAAAACCATCCTAGCTGTTACTTAAGACAGGAAATCTGAAGTTCTTGCTTTCATCACTTTATCACTAAGATATATACGGTTAAAGAGTTACGGATGTAAACGTTGCTGGTTATAAAAACAACTTGCCTGCAGGCTGGGACAGATGCCGGCTGCCCATTAATACGGGCCTGAAAATCGGCACAGAAATCGGCACTAGACCACGGATTCTGAAGGAAATATGAGGTGCTTGTTGTAGTCACTAACTACTCCAAGCGAGCGACCACTGCCAAGGTCGAATTAATGAGTCTCCTCTGATGTTAATGACTGAGCGTTCCCAAGAAAAGACTAAAAGCTGACCGCAGGACGCTGCTTGGAAATACCTAAAACAAACCTGTTGGCGATTTCTTAGCCCGCATTTCAGTGAATTGGCCCGACCACTCCGTTTTGTTGGGAAGACCTTCTTCCCCACCCCCGCCCGCGTCCCTGACCCACAGTTTATTTTTTTAAATTTTATTTTGGTATCATTAATCTACAATTACATGAAGGACATTATGTTCACTAGTCTCCCCCCCTCACCAAGTCCCCCCCACATACCCGTTCACAGTCACTGTCCATCAACATAGTAAGATGCTGTAAAATCCCACAGTTTATTTTTACCCATTTTTAACTTGGAGCCATCTTAAGAGCAAATTAAGAACTGAGTGCTCGTCAAATCACTCCGAGGAGGCACAGCCGGCTTTCGAGATAGCGCGGCCCCAGGTCGGCACCGGTCGCGGCGCGACTCCGGCCCGCCGGTTTCGGTTAGACCGCAACAGGAAGTGTCCTCTCCCCTCGCGGGAAGCGGGGAAGCCAGAGAAATGTGAAGCCCCACTCCCGCGGGGAGCGCCCAGAGGTGAGCCGCGGTGCGGGAGGGCGGCTCCGCCCGGGACGCGGGCAGCCAAGGGACTCGTGATTCGACGCCGACCGCGGCGTCCACGCCCCGTGAGGGCTCCGGCCGCAGCCTCTCGTCCTCTACCCGCCCGGCCCGGCCCGTCTCCCCTCGTTCCGGGGGCTGCGGCGGCCCCGGAGTCCGCGCGAGCAGGGCCGCCAGCCTCCTCGCCGAGGGCGCCGGCCGGGCCGCAGAGGGAGCGGGCGCGGCGGCGCGGTTCCCGGCCTCCTCGGCGCGGGCTGCACTCACCCACTCGAGGACCTTGATGAAGCCGAGCGGCTCCTTGAGCGGGTTGAGGCTGAGCTGGAAGGAGGACATCCTCTGAAGGAAGGAGGGAGAAAGTCAGAACGCGGGGCGGAGGAGGAGGGGACCGCCGAGACCGAGCCGCGGGAGGCGAGGAAGGACAGGCGGGGCGGGCTCCGGGAGGCGGGCCGGAGGCCGCGGGCGGGGCGGGCGGCGCTGGGGCGGGGACGGAGAGGGGCGGCCGCGGAAGGCTAGGGGAGGGAAGGGGCGGGGCGGGGAGGGGAGGTGCTACTCTGGGCCGCACCTGGCCGAGGCGGCTGATCGCTGGCGAACCCAGATGTTGGACGCCAAGCTGCGTGCGCCGCGCCCCCTTCCTTGAAATCCAGCCCTCGGCGCGTCGTTTCCTTCCGCTTGCGCGTGGCCATTTCCGCGCAGGCGCTATGGGGGTCGCTCCTCCGCGCAAAACTCAAGGCTGGTCCTGTCTCCTACCGTCTGCGGTGATAGCTCTTCTGCCGCGGCTTGTCTTCACAGATCCCAACTTTTCGATGGATTTTTGAAATGTTCACACAGGTGAAGCCACGCTTGAAGGCTGGTGTTAAGAGCCTTTTATTAAAAAGGGTCAGGTTATTGCAGAAAACAGACTTTGGGTGATCGTGCTCTAGGGTATCTATAAAGCGTAATTCACCAAATATTCTTACGGAAATTAAGTTTGTTGTGAAAGTGTGAAAGTTATTGGAGTCAGGGTTGAAGGACAAAGGTTATACCAAGTAGTAAAAGGAGAGGCTCCTCCTGACCCACCTACCCATCTCTCCTGTATGGGTCAAGCCCTGTACTTGGGGCTCTCTTAGTGTTTAATTTCCTGTTCCGCCATCAATATTCAGCTTTGCTGACGCTTCCCTCCTGGCACCCAGTTATCAGATCTCCTGAGTAGAGATTGATGCCGGGGTTCTTGTTTGTGGAGTCAAAGAATGAACTTAGCAAACACTCAAGGTAGAAGAGCCAGGGAGAGGCTTTTATGTAAAGATGAAGTGAGAAGACAGAGCTCCTGGCTCAGGCCAGGAAGGGACAAGAGAGCCCGGGGTGGCGCGTTGTCTAGGGGATTTATAGGCAGTTGTGCATTTGGGGGAACATGATAAAGGGTTTAGAGGTGTGGGCTTCTTTAAAGTGGTCTTAGAATGTACGTCCATGATGAGACATTAAGTCTCTTAGCATGCTAAAGTGAATCTTACACATGATTATAAATGATTAGCCTAATAAAAACATGGGCTATGCTGAGATACTTTATCTGGGGAATATTAACTGATCTTATTGAAGAATGACTCGAGTTTAATGTTTAACATGGAGTTTTGGTAGGGGGTTTCCTCACATGTTGTTACACTGCTTTGACTGTAATTATCTTGCCTTGCTTTTTCCAGGGGCCTTCACCCTACTCTGACTACACTCACGGTTCCAGTTTCAAGATCTTACTGGCTTCCCCAGTATCTTGGAAGTTCTTGGAGAGCTGGCATGATGTCCTACTGGCCTGTATGGTAAGATGGTTTTAACACCAGGTAACAGTAAATAAGGGAGAAAGGAATTTAGCACAATAGGATTTCAAAACCAATGTAGAACCACTGTGTATGGTACTCCAGGTCTTCCTTTTTTTTCCTTCTTTTTTCAAATTTGTTTCTGCACTTTCTCCTGGCAGCCAGTTCCTGGAGCCCCAGGGTAGTGATCTCCTTACTGGCTTCCTCATCTTTTCTTGTATACTCCTTAGTCCATTTTCCTAACTTTTTACTCCCATTCCATTGAGGGTTTTCATGTGGGCACCTGGGGTGGGTTGTAGATAGTAGTGCTATTTGGTTTGGACTTCATATTCACCAAGATTTGAATAAGACTCTAAAGTTATTTTCAGATGAGACCTACACTGACAGATCAGAGTGGTGTTCACTTGGCAACTTTATTTAATAACTTAAAAAATCTAAAATAGGCTGCAATTTAGTAACCCAGTCTTGTCATGTCTCCATTTTTTTCATTGTTTGAAGGCCTCAGAAATTGGCTTTGGCCTGGGCCTTTCTTAACTTGCGAGAAGCTTAACTTTGTGTTTTCTCTCTTCTGCCCCTCCTCACTTTCTCTCTGCTTCTTGTTTACACCCACCAGGGGACTGCATGGTTGTTTCTCCTCAGGAAGCCTTTAGAGTTAGAACTTGAACTTTAAGAAATTCTCTTCCTTGGCCGTGTGCCACTGCTGTTTAAAGATGGAGACCACTCAAGGTGAGAAGAATAGTATCTGGTCAGTTGTCAGATCTGGCTAAAACAAAGCAGGAGTGAGCTGCTGCTGTTACATTCGGTGATATTTACCCCAGCACTCTTCTGCCAGTCATCCGAGCCCAAAGGAGCTCCTGCTTTCCTGAGAAGAAACTGGTAGAGGCTGGCAGAGCAAGTGAGAGCTGATTGGGCAACCAAGTAGTTGTGAATTTTTTTGATTCCGGAAAAACAAGAGTGTTTAAACAATAGCATCTTATTGAAGGCACAACTGTTCAGAATCTGGGAAGAGTGTTTAGATGACTGTATCACATTGACTACAACACTGGTCATTTTCTGATTTGTTCTTCAAATCTGAAGAAAGAGCCAGAAATTTGGGGCACAGCATGTTCCATTCACCAGCAGGGCATTTATGGAAAATAATACTTGTAATGCAAAGTTGGCTTATCCAAGATGGTATTATTTAGCCCTATCTGTGGTGGTATAATTATGGCTAAGTTACCTGTATAATTTGTTACTGTTTCACTTTCTCTTTGCTGTTTATAAAATTTGTACTAGGTTATGATATTTTGGATTTAAGGATATGCCAAAGGTCAGAAGGAAGCTGTGTTTAGGGAAATCATATCATTGGCTAACTATAACATTCTTTGTGTTTCTCAATGATAATACAAAGTTCCAGTCATTTTATTTGGAAGATGAGATTTGTAACTCATTTTCAACCAATATTTGTCTTTTTTCCTTAAAAGATAGTGCTCAGTACCAATGAGTTCAAAATCTGAGTTTTGCGTATAAACACAATTCTTTCCTTTTCACTGATGAATTCAACAATCATCTTAGAAACATCTAAAAATCATTCTAAACTTACTATGTTGTGCAATAGATTGGCTCAATGGACCCAGTAAATTATCTCAAAATAATTGAACTGAGGTCTTTTAAAAGTAATATTTAATTTTTTAAATTAATTTTAGATTTACAGAAAAGTTGCAAAGTACAAAGAGTTCCTATATACACTTCACCCAGTGTCCCCTACTCCTATCTAATATCTCCTATAACCAAGATACTTTTGTCAAAACAAAGAAATCAATGGTGGTTTAGTACTATTAACGAAGGTACAGAATTTTTCAAACTTCACAAATATCTTTTCACAGCTTCAGGATCCAGTCCAGAACCCCATATTTAATCTAATGAGATCTCTTTTCAAGGAGTGGTCAAGAGTAGAGGGAAATGAATAAGACAAAGTTGTTTTCCATTCTGTTGAAAACTGAACATGTAACGGAGTGCAGAGAGCATCAAGTCAGAAAAAAAAACTAATGACACTTAACCTGACTGCCTAGAGGGAGAGCCACCCAGTCTTTTCTTGTGTAAATTACCCGAGGCTTCTGAGAAATGCGCCTACCCTAAGTTAGATAACTAGAAGTGGGCAACAGCCTGGGAACGCCTGGGGATGTAACCCGTGATAAGTCACATAGACATGCTTGGGTAAGCAAGAGATAACAATTGAAGCGGGCAGGCAACTGGCACGTTCCCTAAAAAGGTTACAATGTTTCCCATTGGTTACAATATAGAGTGTGTTTTAAACCTATTAGTTGTAGAACTGCGTGGGCTTTGATGTAACTGCTGTGAAGATCCTATATATTCAATACCCAAAGTTGCTTCGGGGTCGGCAGCTCGGACTCGGCTGCGTGTCAGGGGAGGTGCTGTCGACCCCAGCTTGCTGGCTGAATAAAGACTTTGCTTGGATTTTCATCTCCGTGTCCGTGTGTCTTGTTCTCTGGGAAACCCCGGAGTCCTAGACCCTAACATTTGGGGGCTCGTCCGGGATCCGTGCGGCTTCCCTGAGAACAAAGGACGGCTGGAGGCAAGGTCTAATTGTCCGGACGGGGCAGTGTAATTCGAGGGTCGCCCCCTCGTGTCTGCATAAATCCATTATAAAGCGGGAGTCGCCATCCCATGTATGGTCTCGGATTAGTGACCCTGAGTGAGAGAGTCCGGGTTGGTAGTCCCGGCCCCCGGGTTAGTGACCCTGGGTGAAGTCCAGGTGACTAATCCTGGCCCTAGGGTCTGAGTGACTCAGCCTTAGGAAAGCAAGTCCGATCGGCAGGAACCTGGCGCCCGAGGAGGAAAGGATCGAGCTCATCACCCTGAGGCAGTCTGAGTGGATGCCTTTCGGGAGAATCACGAGAGTTTTTGAGGATCCTGAAAGTGGTGAGGGTGGTGCGCACCAGAGTGAAAGAAGGACCGGTCCAAATGAGTGCGATCAGATGTGGTGTGTGTGCTTGGTGTTATCATTGATTGTTTTATTGTGTTTTGGTTTCGGTTTATTTATTTTTTTTGCACTTCTCATTTTAAGTTTCCTTGTTCTAAGGTTCTCCTGCTCTCTCCGTTCCTCCTTTCTGCCACTACATCATTTCCCGCGGGCACGGGTCGGGCAATTAAGAGCCATTAGGGCTCCCGCCGCTAGAAGACTCCCGTGACAGGATAAGGGGGTCACAGCCGCGAATCCCAGATAAATTCGCGTCCCCCGCGGAAGAAAAACTGTGCAACGACAGGCACCCGTGCACAAGCACATACAACAGTCATCTTGTTTGAAGTGGCATCTTCATCCTTCGCCTTTGTCTCCCTCATATTCTTTTTCTTCTTCTTTTTCACTATGGGTCAGACTCAGGCTACTCCTAAGAGTCTGATCCTTTCCCATTTCCCGGAGGTCAAGGAACAGGCCTTAAATATGAGCCTTGGCATCAAGAAGGGTAAGCTCGACACCTTTTGCTCAGTCGTGACCTTCCTTTGGAGTAGGCTGGCCGACCCAGGGGTCTCTTTCCCTGGACCTTATTGGCAAAGTCAAAACCATTATCTCCCGACCAGACCCTGAGGGCCACCCTGACCAACTCCCCTATATCTTGGTCTGGGAAAATCTAGCCAAGAACCCTCCATCCTGGCTGAGGCCCTTTTTGGTGGGGAAACCTCATACTGACCCACTAAAGACCTCCGTCCTAGTTGCTCAGGAAAAATTAAAGCCCTCTGATCGCACGGCCAGAAATCCTGTGCACCCGAGTGCACCGCCTGTCCTCCCTGACAGTTCTCCTCTCTACCCCCTTCTGCCAATTGAGCAGCCACCCCCGTATGCGGAGGAGAGGGGTGAAGCTGCCAGGAGGATAGAAAATGAGGCTGGGGAACCCAGCGGGAACCAGGCGGCCGCAGCTTCCCCAGACTCTTCAGCAGAGGGAGGCAGGAGGCTGGAAAGAGCTTCCCCACACTCCCCCGCCCTGGCCCCACGCTGGGCACCAGGTAGAACAGGAGGAATGCAGTTAAGGCCTCGGGGGGCCAGGGAACAAGAAGGGGAGGCTCCCTCCTCCACCTCAGATGGAGCAGTGCCGGTTCTGCCTATGCGTGCCGTCGGTACAGGCATCGCTCAACAATATCAATACTGGCCCTTTTCATCTAGTGACCTCTATAATTGGAGGACTCAGAACCCTCCCTTCTCAGAGGACCCCAAGTGTCTTACAGGTCTAGTGGAGTCCATTATGTTTACCCATCGTCCCACATGGGACGACTGCCAGCAATTGCTCCGCACTCTCTTCACGACAGAAGAGCAAGAATGTATCCTCAATGAGGCCAGGAAAAATGTCCTCAGAGAGAATGGAAGACCCACTACCCTCCAGCCCATCATCGACGAGGCATTCCCACTTATGCGCCCGTATTGGGACTTCGGGACTGCAGAAGGTAGGGAGCATCTCCGGGTCTACCGCCAGACTCTGATGACCGGTCTCCGGGCGGCCGCCAGACAGCCCACTAACCTGGCTAAGGTAAAAACTATTGTTCAGGGGGAAATGGAAAGCCCAGCGGCGTATCTGGAAAGGCTGTTTGACGCTTACAGGCAGTATACCGCCATAAACCCAGAAGCAGAGGAACATAGATCAGCTGTAGTCCTCTCATTCATCAACCAGGCAGCCCCCGATATCCGGAGAAAACTCCACAAGCGGCAGGACCTGGGGGAGATCTGTATTAGAGAACTGCTGCAGCAGGCGGAGAAGGTCTTCAATGCTAGGGAAACTCCGGAGGATAGAGAAGAAAGGCTGAGGAAAGAGAAATGGGTAATGCAGGAGAAAAATAGGAAGGAAGACAGAGAATTTCAGAAGAGGGAGAACAAGAAGCAGAGGGGGGAGATGGCCAGGATATTCCTGGCCGGGGTGAAGGAGGGCCCTAGGCCACCTCGAGGAACAGGACCCTACCAATCCCGACTAGGACCAGATCAATGCGCCCTGTGTAAGAGATATGGACATTGGAAGAGGGAGTGCCCCCAAAGGAGGGAACAAGGAAGAGGGAACCCTGTTAAGACCCTGCACCTAGGAGAGGAGGATTGACGGGGACAGGGCTCGGCACCCCTCCCCAAGTCCTGGGTAACCCTGTGCGTGGACGGGACTCCCATTGGGTTCATGGTAGATACTGGGGTACAATATTCAGTTCTTAACCAGGCCCACAGTCCCCTGAACCCAGGACGCACAAGTATAGTCCAGGGAGCGACAGGGTCCAAGAAATGTGCCTGGACCACTAGCAGAAAAGTGGACCTAGGAAGGCATCAGGTCTCTCATTTCTGGTCGTACCTGAGAGCCCCGCACCATTGTTAGGTAGAGACTTACTAACCAAGGTTGGGGCACGCATTCATTTTGAACCCGAAGGGATAAAAATCATGGACAAAGAAGGGCAGCCCCTACAACCAGCGCATGTGTTAACTCTGTCCCTGGCCAACGAACATCGTCTGTTTCAGGCGGATCAAGAAAAGGGGGGCCGGGGAGAAATGGACTCTTGGTTACAGAGGTTCCCTTCCACATGGGCCGAGACCGGAGGAATTGGTCTCGCTAAACACCTATCCCCGGTCGTTGTTCAACTCAAAGCCG